GGTTATGTCTTCAGGAGGGGAGCATGTACCTGGGTGACTAGGCAGGTGCCTCATTATTTTGCTGAGGATTATATTTTATGTCATAAGTTTGTTTCTTCTTGGGTACTAGCTGTCTGTGTAAGATATCACGGGCCTCTAGGTTTCAGACTGGATGTTCTGGGCCTGCTCATCAAAGTGTGCGATTCTCTGCACCTGTGTCATGATCCCTTCAGGCACCCGCTTCTAGGCCTTATTACGGTGAGAGTTTCTGCTCGTAAGCAGTGGTGGCCTTAGTCTGAGTGGACCTGCTCAGCGGCAAACGTAGCCTCACTCTGAGGGTGGAATGATTCAGCACAGCCATCAGGCAAAACCGTGTCCCATACCCAACATTTTATATATGATGGTGAACAATGTTGCAGAGTATATCACATACATGGTACAAGAAAATGATAAACCAATCTGTCATATGTGACAAAATTTAGAAAACAAGGACGTCTGTAAAAATAAAACAGGTCTCATTCGCACCGATATTCTTGGGTCTCCTAGTTCACTTTCACTATCACACTTTCATTTTCTACCATAGACAGTGTGCTGGTTGGTATTTGTCAACTTGGAAATCTCAACTGAGGATTGCCTGCATCAGATAGGGCTGTAAGCAAGCCTGGGGAGCATTTTCTTGATTCATGATTATATGGGGGAGGAGGGGTGTTGTCCATATCACTGTGGTGGTACCACTCCTGGGCATGAGGGCCTCAGGTATACCAGAAAACTGATTAAGCGGACCACGGGGAGCAAGGCAGTAAGGACATTCCTCTGTGGCTTCTGCTTCAGTTTCTATTTCCAGGTTCCTGTCTTGGCTTCCCTCACTGATGGAATGTAACTCATAAGCCAAATAAGCCCTTTCCTCCCTCAGTTGCTTTTGGTCATGGTGTTTTATCAGAGCAACAGAAAGCAAACTAAGATGGATTGCCTACACGCCAAGCAAATAGGTGCACACATGTTTGCCAACATAGCTGTTATTCTACAACATGGGAACCTACTGTGTATGTTGCTATGCGCCTTACTTTTTGTCGTTTAACAATATTCCTTAGAGATAATTCCCTATACTGTGCCTTTAAACATTATAGTTTGCCAGTACACTGGCATACTCTTTAAATCATCATCCTTAATGGCTATAAAAATTGAGCAAATGATTTATCGAATTCTTTAATACATATTTACCAACCACCTACAGAGCACCGGTGATTCTTAGATAAGAGGAGATAAGCTGCACCATGAAAGGAGTCATGGCAGAGTGGAGAAGACAGCCAGGTAAACAAGTAATTACAAGCTGTTGCTAAGTGCCAGTATGGAAAAACACAGGGGCGCTGAAAGAACAAAGGACGAGGCCTCCGAGGACTTTAAACAAAAGTGTTGAGGGATAAGTGAATTAAGTTGGCTCATCGACCAAAGGCAAGAAGAGGACTCTAGCCAGAGACTAGAGCACGAGCAAAAGCACAGATACTCAGAAGATCGTTGCAGTCAGGTGACTATGAGGAGTTGGGTACAGCCCCAGCTACTTGATCTAGAAGCTTGTGGTCAAGTGTTCAATATAAATAATGCTACCACCTACAAGTTGCAGTCTATGGCTTTTTCCATATCTTGGAGTATTTGTTTGGCTGTATTCCCAGACATGGGGCTGCTGAGTCAAAAGTGTAATACTTTGGCCTGAGACATAGAGCCGAGACGCCCTCCAAATGGACCACATCTCTCGTATGTTGCAAGTGCATAGACCTTGCAATGTCACCTTTATCATTAAATTATTGTACACTCTTTGATTAGCAGAAAGGTAAATTACTCCAAATATTAATACATTTCTTCTTATGTGTTTTTATTTACTTACTTACTTATTTGTTTGCTTGTTTATTGTTTTGAGACAGGGTTTCTTTGTGTAGCCCTGGCTGGCTTCAAATTCAGAGACACCCCATCCCTGCCTCCCTCCCCGTTTGCCTTCAGAGTTCTGGGATTAAAGGCATGTGCCACAACTCTTGGCTTGTTTATTTTTATTTTTTAAATATAGACATGGGGATTCTACACTTTAATTCTTATGAATCTTTCTTACAATGCAGGTATTTAAATAATACTGTTTATTGCCAATAGCTTTTTCATGTTAGTTATATGCAATGAAAGCTGGACAGATAATATAACTAGTCACATCCACTGATTATTTCCTCTCATTGTTTCTAAGTCAAGGAATATTTATTTTTTTCTTTTTCTTTCTTTTCTTCTCCTCCTCCTCTTATTTATTTATTTATTTAGAGACAAGGCTCCTCTGTGTAGCCCATGTTTTCCTGGAACTCAGAAGTCCACCTGCCTCAGTTTCCTAAGTTCTGGGATTAAAGGCATTCACAACTACCGCCCATCATGAAAAGAATCATTTTATCAAGAACTTTAACAAACATTCTGCTTTTCTGGATTGCTTAAAAATGTTTAATTCATATCTGGGCATGGTGGTACATGTCTTTAGTCCCAGCCCTCAGAGAGGCAGAAGCTGGTAGATCATTGTGAGTTCGAGGCCAGCCTGGTCTACGAGGCAAATCCAGGACAGCCAGGGCTACACAAAAAAACCTTGTCTTGGGGAAAAAAAAAAAAAAATAAAAAAAAAATAAATAAATAAATTAACTCATTAATCTCCACAGAAGTAACATTGGATATATGAAATGCATCAGAACTATTTAACTAGTTTTGTTTGTTTCTTTTGCTTTTTAATGGTTCTCCAAATTGCCAATGAATGATCTGAATTGTGCCTTCTCCATTGATCTTTCTTTTTCTTTTCTTTTTTTGAGAAAGGTTTTCAGGTAGCCCAGTATGGTCTGGAATTTACTAATGTAGCCAAAGGTGACCCTGAACCCCTGATACTCCCGTCCCCACCTCCCAGGTGTCGGTAGTCCAGACAAACACCACCATGGTCTGTTGATGTTTAAGGTTTTATTTTGAGACATGTTTTAGGTTCGTGGTGAAGAAGCAGGAAAACTACACACCATGGCATTTTTAAAAATATGACATTCAAAGGGAAAAAAAAAGCAAAACTATGGTGATATAAAACTTCAGTGTGTGGGGGGAAGGGGCGGGAATGTCTAGGCAGAGCACAGAAGAGTTTTAGGACAGAGAAAATATATGGTATGATGCTCTGATGAGAGCTACATGTCATTAGACATTCATCTAAGCCATAGATATGCAGCATCAGAGGTGGACCCAGATCAAGCTATGGACTTAAGTGATAATTATGTGTCAGTAAAGGTTCACTGCAAATTGCAGCGATTGCAGCAAATGACCCGCATGTTTGAGAAACCACGCATGTGTGAGGTCAGGGGCACTTGTATTACTTGAGGATAAAGCTAAGTCATCAACTGAATTTAATTCTAGGCCTTTTTTGAAATGTGTCATATAGCTTAAGAGAGGCCTTTCCTCTGACTTTCTCCGCCTTCTTCAGCAGCATATCTCTTTATATATAGAAAGAATTACAACAGCATGAGTAGGCTTAGGTAAAGCTTGTCAGTGTTCCCCTGTTAATAAGGAAATCCACTGCAGGAAGAGGACCTGCGTTTGGGCTGGATGTAGGGAAATAAGGCTGTTTCATTCACTGTTAGCCAGTGTCACGGGCTGGAGCGAGTTATATTCCTGGTTCTCCCCTGACTCCTAACTGTGACTCCAAGACAGCCTCAGCCCCTCTGAAGGCCAGTCTAGGCCAGGCCAGGCCAGGCCAGAAAGCGTTCACCGAAAGTAAAAGTAAGCATCTTGCCTTCCCGAAGCTTGACTGAAGCCAGCTTTTGAGCAAAGGCAGAGGGAGTTACTTAGCATAACCTACCATAGGAGACTCTGGACCTCAAGTCCTGCTCTTCCCCCATCCCGAAGTTATCACCTTTGGAGCCTATTAGACATGCAGATGTCTGGGTAATCCTGGATTTTTCTGTCATGGATGTCTGAAGACTGAAACAAATTCCCATAGATGTTGCCACACACTTCTTAGCCGCTCTTCCTTCTCTTCCCACAAGACACTGGTATCCGTTTCCCTGCACTTGTGAAAAGCGCCCTAAAAGTGTAGATCCACAACTGCTGGGTTCGTGTTCACCTGTGCTTCTCAGTTTCTACCCTCTAGTTCTGTCCTTTCCCGGAGGTCAGGAGTGGCCTGCGTCTATAAACCCATCCGGGATTCCCCAGAGGAAGACAGTCCTGTTTCTCCTGGAGCGCTTCCTCCATCAGAAAGCAGTTGTGTTCCTTGGGCGCTATTCCATCAGGGTGGGAACGCGTGCTGTGGAAGTGGATCTGGGTCAGGACTCCTCTGGGCCAGCTCCCCTTCCTCGCCTCCATTTGCAGGATAAGATTCGTTTCTCCAGCCGTTGGGAAGAGCGGGTTAGCCACAGAGGGATTCAGAGTATCCTCTGAGATGCCCACAGCTTGCATCCTCTCCTCATCAACTTCCTAACTCCCCCCTGGAGACCTCAGCAAAACCCGCGCGCGCGACACTCTGCTCAGCTGTTAGGTGTGCAGGAAGAGGTAAGGGTGGTTAGATAGCCAAGGGACCTTGCCCAGGGGTGTGTGCGTGCTGGAAGGTGGGGCGCACCCAGCCCTCGCGCCCCGAAGCCACTCTCTTTTCCGGGGTCCCTCCAGAGCTGCTGGTGGCCAAGGGAAGGAGCCAGCGCTCATCCGCCCCAGTCGGTCCCTCCGCGGCTCCGAATCAGCGCGCTGCGGAGGGCTCCCTCCCCACGGCCATCCCGGCAGCGAGGAGCTCGGGAAGAAGGGGCGGGGAGCGAGGAGGCGAAGCAGAGGGACGCGTGGACCTCGACAGAGGTGGCGCGGCTGCGTCGTGAGGCCGCCTCGCGGGAGCTCCCGAGCGCGAGCCGAGCGCGCGCGCGCGCCCCGCCGACCCAGGCGCCGGGCGGAGCTGCGAGCCGGGGCGGGCGGAGCGAGCGGCGGGCGGAGCGAGCGGTGGGAGGCGCGCGAGCGGGCGGCGGGCAGCGTCTCCGCCGGCATCTGCGCGGCCGCCTCTGCCCGGAGCCCGGGGACCGAGCGCCGGACCCGCCGCCTGGCGCACGGACGCGCGGCTCCCGCTTTGTGCACCGTGCCGGTTCGGCGAGCTTTCCCGGCGGCTTGCAGCCCCCTTCGTCCCGGCGGCCTCAGAGGCCCGCGGCTGGAGGTGCCGGAGCCGCTCGGTCCGCGCGGTTGAGCCCCCGCGTGCCCCGCTTGCTCGCCGGGCTGCTCCGAGCCGCGGTGCTCCGGGGCTCCAAACTCGGGCTGGCGGGGCAAGTGTCTTCATGAACCCAGAGGATGTCCGGGAAGCACTACAAGGGTCCTGAAGTCAGTTGTTGCATCAAATACTTCATTTTTGGCTTCAATGTCATATTTTGGGTAAGTTGGAGCGCTCCCGGGCTTCCGAGTGCTGTGGCGGGTGGGTGGGCGACGGTCCCCCGCCGTGGTCGCTGCCTTTACTTTTCGCCGCCCCCGAGGCGCCTGCCCCAGTTGGGGCGAGAGGCGTCTACCTTCCGCCTCCCCGGCTCGAGCGCGGGGGTGAGCAACACTTCATCCTTTCCAGGACCCGGAGGAGGTGAAAAGAGGAACTGAGCCCGGCGAGGGGCAGCCAGGCCTCAGGGTGGCTTTTTCCTTTTCCTTTTTATTTTTTTTAAGGGGGGGGGGTCGCGAATAGCTTGGGTACGGATGGGAGGACGGCTCGGCAGTTTGAGAAAGGAGCGAGCACACGGATTAGATTTGCTTCCCGTGGGATCTGGATGTTGGGCAGAGCGTGGTGTCATAATGGGGCAGGCTAATCGGGCAGAGCCGACCCCGAGATCCACCTTCCAGCGCCGATCTGATTGGCCGGGGGCTTGGCTCGGTGTTGCCGCGGCTGGTCTGTGCCGTGCTCAGCGTGTATCTCCTTGCACCATCTCGGGCTTTGTGTAGGATGCAGATGCTGTGGTGTGTGGTTCTGTGATGGGCACGTAAATAACACGTCCTGCATGCTCCGCTCCGGCTGTACAGCGTTCCCTTTGCATCATGGACTGGCCAAGTGGGCGTGTGGGGTGGAGGGATTTATTTCCCTGTGTACCCTTGTGGAATAACTAGTCGCCAGTCAACATATGGTTCAGTGTGCGCGTGCCTCACGTCCTCCGTTTTTTAAAGGGGTGACACACAGCGGCCCGGGTTTTAGGAACCCTCGGAGAAATGCAAAGGAGAAGGCGTGTGAGACCTGTTTTCCTGGCAAGGCAGGCGAGCAGCTGCTTGCACACCGGGTTCAAACCGAGCTACGCTTGGCACTGCCTTGTGCCGGGCGCCTATTGTAACCAGGCTGGGACCCTACTCTTTTGTTTTGGTTCTTTTCTGCGACCTCACAAACGTGTTCAGCAGCCAGACAAAGAGTTCTGTAGGACAACGGGGAAAATGGTTGGTTGGTAGGAAGACCGTGTTATTTTTCAACCCACCTCTTTCCGTCTGGACGTCTTCCTTGCTGGCAACCTCTCTCCATGGGAGGGAAAAATGGTGGCGGCCCGTGGGGTATCCCCAAGTTTCTGCGAGGTAAACAAACAATGATCCAGCGGTCTGAATACAGGGCATTTTAATTGGACTTCTTTTATTTGTGGCTGTTGGCTGTAAATATATTCATCTGTGAGAATAGTAAATATTCTTTATGTTCTCCACCCCCCCCCCCCACGTACCAGGTCATTTTATTTTCTATCAGAGTGGCCATGTGTGTTTTGTGAAAGGAAATGGACTTTGTGTCATCTGTCTTCAGGACTGGACCACATTGTTGAGGGGGCGTGGGAATAAATACCATATCCAGCCATTCACGGGCAGTTTCTGTTTTTTTGTGTTATTGCTAGTATGTTTTCGTGGGAGCCTTACCCCCCACCACCCCCAAATAGAGCAAGAGGAAATGATTTTCTTTTTTTGCTTCTCTGCTGGACCCTTTCTGGAAATGTTTAAAAGTGGTGGGTAGGCATATTTCCCAGTGAGGTATTCTGATAGCATTCAGCTATGAGAGGCAAGGGCCCTCGAATGGGGCTGCAGGGGTGGTGAGTGCAGGCCTCCTCATTCTGCTTGAACACTTCCAAAAGTTGCACATTTCAGCTACCAGGCAACAAAAAGCACCCACGGGCTTTCTCTGCCGTTTCATAGCAGAGAGTGAAAAGGAAATAAAAAGGATTGGGGACTGTTTCCCTGGCAGTTTGGTGTAATTTTGTAGAGAGCACAAAGGCAAATTTAGCCCTGTCTCTGGATTAGGCTGCAGCAAAACCCCTGAACTGTGGAGAGCTTCCACAAAATTGCGGATTGCTTGCACGGAGAGTTCCAGAATAGAGCCCACATCTCGCCTGATTTTGAAGGTATTCCTGTGGGTGGTAGGTAGTTTTTCGGCAAGCCAGCCAACAGACTGAGGCCGGAAAATTGAAAGAGCATCACTGGGCGGCATTGCTAAGTAGGTGACTACTTAAGGGAACCCTTCAGGCCCCCTGTCCTCTCAGAGCCAAGGCCCACCTTTAGGACTTTTTCTACCTCGCATTTAAATGCCCCATTTTATCAGGACCAGTGGACGCTAGCAGCAATCAGCAGGAAAACCCCCATGTGATAATTAGAGCAATCCACACTGAAATGTTAGTGACTGGAGATCTGACATAGTTGTGAAAACTTGCCCACTTCTATTGCCTTCAGCCACCAACCTGCCTGCGGTTGCCAGAAATAGCAGTCAATGCTTTGGCTGTACGGTTCTGAAGGAGAAATTGCTAACGGAGGCCACGGGCTCCTAATCTTTCATTTTCACATTGACATGTAGACTGGATTTGAAATTCATTGAAGACATTTGAAAGTAATAGTTCTTGTAAAATAAAAGCGGACATACAGTGGCAGCCGTGACAGCCCGGATCTCTTGCTAATCAGCTCTTTGGCTGCGTTAGTCAGTTAACTGCCCTGGGCCCTCGTTACTCAGCTATTAAAATGAAGAATTTGGTCGAGTTGTGAGGACCTTTCTGTTTCTGACAAAGGATTTGTTGAGTTCTAATATGCCGGGGTAGATGAAATGTGAGGGATGAGAATGGATGAGCAGTGGTCTGTGATGGAAAAAGCGTGAACTGGGAGACTTGCCTACTTATAGACTGCCCTTTACTAAGACTTGATCAAAGACTGATTTGTTTGTCATTTCTTCCTCAGTGATTCTTTCACTTGAAAAAATACCTTCCACTGAGTTTTCTTTGCTTGTTGAGTTACTGGCATGACACACATGTTTCCCTATCTGCACCGTGAATCTCAAATGCAGCCCTCTGAGTCATTAGCTGTATTTTTATTATTAGAATTGCAGCTTCGTGTGTAAAATCCTAACCCTTTTATGTAACAGTTGTGATATTGTGAGCAGCAGAGCCAGCATCTTGTACAGATTCCTTTCTTGTTAGTTATTGCAGGGTGGTGGGGAAAACCTTGTTTTTCTTGCTCTGCTTTGGGAGAAGTCAAACCAGCAGGAATTTATTTTATTGAGGGTGTCATCATAGGAAGATGTTTCTCGGAAACACTGACTTGTCTCTGGGGCGAAGGAGAGAGAAGGGTGTTTGTTTTAAGGTCAGCCCTTTGGGGAGTTGATCCCTCTGTCCCATCACTAACCACTGTAGATGTTTTTTGTTCTGGACCTTGACAGTCAAGTGTTTCTCAGATAGTAAATGAATGTCAACATCCTGGTTATTTATTGCTGCATAACAAGCCCTCAAACTTTAGTAGTTCGAAACAAAACCCAATTCTTAGCATGCGTAGTTCTCTGCTTTGACTACTCACAGGGATAATTCTAACCTGGGGCCTCTGTGCAGTTGCTGTGAGCTGTGGCTGCAGTTTTTTGATGTCTCTTTTGGGTGGGGAGTCCAGGCTGGTGCTCCCCTGTGACTAGCAGGTGATGCCTATTGAGGGTTCAGCTGTGGCTGTTGGCTAAAGCCCATGCATTCTTCTGTCTCTGAGCCCTGAAGCAGCTTTCAGGCAGTTTAACTGTACCCATTTGGAACATCAGTAAAAACTATCATAGAGTCTGCTCAGTTTCATCTTTGGATAGGGAAGAGTCAAGGTTGCTTTGTAGAAGCTTATGTGGTAGACTGGCTAGTTTTCTGTCAACTTGACACAAGCTAGACATCTGAAAGGAGAGCAACTCAAATGAGAGCATGTCTCCATAAGAACTGACTGAAGGGTATTTTCTTAGTTATTGATGTGAGAGGGCCCAGTTCACTGTGCGTGGTGCTATTCGTGGGCTGGTGCTACTGGGTTCTATAAGAAAGCAGACTGAGCAAGCCATGATGAACAAGTAAGCAGCACCCCTCCATAGTCTCTGCATCAGATCCTGCCTCCAGGTTCCTGCCCTCTTTGAGTTCCTGCCTTCACTGCTTTTGGTGATGAACTGTTCTATGCAACTGTATATAAAATGCCTCCCCACCCCCACCCCCAAGTTGCTTTTGGTCATGGTGTTTTTATCACAGCAATAATAAGCCAGACTAAGACATGTAGATTTCAGCCATTGTTGGAAAATGACTTTATTAGAAAAAGTTGACTGTATTGGTCAACAGAAGCCTTGAGTTAGACCACTTACTATTTTGTTCTTCATGCTGTCCAAGGACCAAAACAGCTATGGGCTGTTTGAAGCCAAATGCCTCTTCGGTGTGCTTTCGAATATTACTTTGTGTTGCAAGTGGTAGTTTACCCAGAGTAGATGGCAGAATGTTGCATATAGTTTGTTTCCACAGGGCTTAAGTTCCAGGAGGAGGGAGATTCAAGGAGTCCTGGGTGGCAGGGTGGGCCATCAAGTTGGATGTCTTATCTTATGATTCAGTGTAAATTGCAAGATGTTCTGGAATGATGGTACATCAGCAGTTTATAAGTCATAATTTTTGTTTTAATTTGCTAGACATCTGTTAGCTTCGATGGCAACCATATGGGAGTCTAAATTGCCTTTTGAATTACAGGGAGATGGTAGGAAGAGAGCTAAATGTGGCTACGGAAGTGTCTTGTGAGAGAAGTGTAGGAAAGGTGCGTGGACCCCAGAGGGGAAGGGCAAGATGCACCATCTTGCCTATTCCGGCGGTTCACTCTGGGGCTGATGCATTCTCAGCGGAAGGTGTTCCTGGCGGTTGAAATGGAGCCAGAGGCAAAAGGTGAACACCAGGTAACATCCCGGCCTGTATAAAGTTGCAACTGGGAGCTCATTTAATTGGATCACTCCGGCCTAACGCTCAGATTGGCACGTGATTCCTTTTGAAAGGTGAAAGTGGTGTGCTCTTTTGGTTTCTACGTGGGGTCTTGCTATTTAACCCAGTATGGTCTCCAATTCTGGCTCATATGATGCTCCTTCCTTAGTTTGATGAGTAGCTAGGGCAATAAACAACACAAGCCGCTGT